CTTAGGTTTATCCCTTCTTTCCTTCACGAGCCATTGGTACAAAAGCAGGTTTTCTTACCTTAGGTTTATCCCTTCTTTCTTACAATCTGCAAATCGGAATCCGACAAATGGGATCAGACACCGCCATGAAGTCCCAAACATGAAATAAAAACAGAATGCAGTCCCAAACAGAATCCAGATTTTAATCAATATATGCGAGGTTCTTACACTATTCCATAATTATACTTGTATAATAAGAAAAAAAAATATTTCATAATATTCAGATTATGCATGCTCAACAAGTGATATTCAAAAAAAAAAAAAATTCATAATATTCAGATTATCCAGAAAGTGAGTAACTCAGCATCCAAATAATTTAAATTGGAAGAAAAAAGGTGTTGTTTATGTAATGATGAGTCCATTCTTGACTTGACAAAAGTGATGTCCCCTAAATGATGAACAGTACCCATACCCCTAAATGATGAACAGTACCCATACCCCTAAATGATGGTCCTCTTCCTCCCAAAAGCAAAGTGGGTTGGGTTAATCCCCAAAAAGACTATATGCCTCCCATGTGCAACCCGGCTTCTGCCATCATTTCATCTGGTAATCCTCTCCCACCTGGAAATAAAAACCAGGAAAATCCTGGTAACCCTCACTATTAAAGTCATGTTTGGTACACAAAATAATATTTGATAAAACATAACAAAAACTTGTATTGTGGCACAGCCCTTCGCTTCATGGTTCCGTTATAAGGGGAAAATTACGTTTCTAGAGGTTGCCACTGTATTATTTTGTTGGGTTCCACCGTGTGGTTTTTGAAACTGAAATGTTAACACAAGACTTTTTTTGGTTAATATTTTGAAAAAAATACACATATCTTATAGTCAAATTTTGCACCACTTGAAATAATTTATGGGTCTGCCTCCCATAAGTTTTTCAGCCTCGGTCCGTTCAATCTTATCCGATCCTAACGACAAGAGTTTCAAGACCTAACGTTTATTTGTCGATTGAATTGTTCAAGATTGAAGTAAAAGTGTATGTATCAGGTTCACCCATTTGTGGCTCAAAAGAGYATCATATGAGTTTAGTGGTTTAAAATAAAGGCAAGTGATGCATAAAGTAGTCAAAGATGTGGAATCCAACACACATCGAGGGTGTACACTGGTTTTGTAAAGAATAAAGATTGCAAGATCACATCTCTACCCACCCACCCCACCTATCAACAAGAAGAAGAAGTAGAAGCAATTTGAACCTGCAAATCTGGAATCCGACAAAAAGCTTCAAASCGATGTTTATTTGACAACAGTGGCGACGACCTCCGATAAATCTCCGAATCGAAAAATAAAACTACCGGATCAATCGGAATCCGTACCAAAAGCAATCCAAACATAAGCAATATACACACAGAGAGAGAGAGAGAGAAACCGTACCAAAAGCTTCAAAGGGATGTTTATTTGGCAACAGTGGCGACGACCTCCGATAAATCTCCGAATCGGAAAATAAAACCTACCAGATCAATCGGAAACCGTACCAAAAGCAATCCAAACATAAGCAATCACAAAC